GGCATGACCTCATTTGGAGAGTTAGAGTTGGCCCTCTTCAGGGTGAAGAGGCAAACGAGAAGGAAGACGACCAGTCTTGCATCACACCGCCAACATGACGATGGCTTCTTTTCTTTTCTTTTCTTTTCTCTGAGTTTCCACGACGCTGCCCCTTCCCCCACAAGCGACCAAATGATAGCGACAATACATTGAACTTGACGAAGGCCTCTATGCCATGGGCAATGTACCGCTTGTCCGACGATTCAGTTGATACATCACATGGACCACGTCCCATGAAGAGCTGCGGAGGATCCGGACACGGTATCATCGAGGACATCCTACAATTCCCCTGGTGATCCTGTGCTTCTGACGGCGCTACGATAACTAAATCGAGAACCAATGCGAAACCCTGATCGGTTCGGGCAGGTTTCGCCCTGCCTTGACAGACATGGACTTCGGGCACTTGGAGCTGGTGTCCTTCCTACGGAGAGCCCCTCGATGTGCAATCCTTTTCGCTGACGGGAAACCACAGCAATGACACCACTGGGCCTGCACACCCTTTCCACAGGTTCTCTGCAGGCCGCCCTCGATCGAGCCTTGGGTCACAGCCGTGTCAGCTTCTCATTCGCTGGCCCAACAGGGGCCTCTGCCGCCCGCCGCCCGCCTCTGTAAAGCCTCTCATACACCACGTGCTCTCGCTGCCGGCGTGGACACTGTGGCTGGCTACCTGATCATATACCAGACAGGGCTCACAAGCTCCCGCCATCTTTCGTTGGACCACAGCACGTCCTGGCACAGTCATGCTGTCACTAGACATCTGAGTCTTCCGCTGTGTGAGCCCTCTGGCGGCCCAACTTTGCGAACCGTTGGGCGGCTGCATATCTGGGGCGGCATAGGCAACTAGATGTCCATGCGATGCCGGGTCCTCGGGATGGCCCTTCTGCTGGACGTCGTACTACGCCCCAGGGAGCTCCCTGTTCCTCTCTCAGGGGGCTGCATATGCTCAGCGTAGTTCGGGCAACAATCATCGCTTTCGATCGCCTACCCGGTCGAAGTGCAGACTGAACATGGGCTACACTTTTCCCGGCGTCGTCACCCACTGCGCGCAGCACCAGTCAACAGATCCCATGCTTTTCTGCTGTTCTATTGGTGATGGGCTTCTCTTGCACCACCCACACCAGGTGTTTCGCCCTCGACGCTGATTGTCTTGTCACACACTGTCGTAACCACACATTCCCTATGGATCTTCAATGCCTAGCACGTCAGTAAGCATCCGGACGATGCCGTCCGGCCGTGTCTTACCATGTATCACGTGGCCTAGAACCTCGCCGGCCATCGACAGAAGGCACTTCCGGGTCGTGTCGTGTGACTTGGAGTTCATACGTACTGCTCCACAATTTCCGTGCTCCAACATGGTCACCACCGCACCTCGCGATTGGCCAGGGCACGACAGACGTCCTCTCAGGGCTCAATTTTCTGTTGAATTCAGGGCATGTGCGGGAGGTGGTACACGTCAAACAACTGTGAAGACCAAAATCCTGCGAAGAACCGCTCTGCTTGCATTGTGAATTGACACACAATTAAAGCCAGATTTTTTGCTCAGCTCGCCATTTCAAGAGATGGCGTTGTGTTTCTGTGGCTCCGCAAGAGCGTGACACCATCGCTTCACACCCTTCGCTCGGAGACACCGTAGATGATGCCAGCCGGCTGAGACTCCTCCTCACCTTCCACAATTGTACGGTGTGTATTTACAGATGCCGTCGCTTGGTCGGTCGATGTACCTCGCACTGGGCAGGTGATGTGATGGAAGCGTTCCCATGCCGCCAGCCTTCGTAGCATATTTGCAGCTCCTCATTTGTCTTCGTTACCTGCAGGAGAGAAAGATGAGTTGGGTAATCTGGTTTGTAGCATGCATTGGTATTGGAACAGAAACATCAACTGCGGAGCAAACGACAGATTCCAGAGCTAGGTACAATGATATCAGTGCGGGGCATTGATGGATGCTGTGCTGCTGGAAAACTTCACGCGTGACGCTGCCGTCCGCTTATGCACGGAAGAACGCTATCTTCCTGCAGCGATCAACATAAGATTGATAGAGGTATATGAGGCCATAGTGATAAGAATAGTGATAAGAAGGCAGAAACGTAACATGAACGGCATGGCGTTCAGTGCACTCGCAAAGCCGCCTGTCAGGGGTCAGACCTAAGATCATCAACGCGGTGAATCTAGGTATGAGAAGCATATTTGGCCAAGGAGGGCAGTATAGAAGACGTGAAAGTACTATACGCTTCTGGTTGCTCCGGCGGTCAACACATCGCAGTCGAATCAACTTACCCTCTCGGACAACGTCTTGAGGAATCGATTTCTTTTTTTTTTTTTTGCTTTGAACGAAAAGTCCCATCTGACCTTGCGATCATTGGCGTGTCCACTCGGCCTACCAGACATCAAGGGTTGCCGAGAACCACTCGCGACTTGGTACCGGTCAAGAGATCGACATGGCGCGCCGTCCAGGCGTCTCACCGACTGGTTCTAGGCCGAGTCGACTAGTGTGACGATCGTGGAGGAGTCGCAGATCTATCTGCGGCGTGGACCCCGCCGGCACGAGGGCCCTTCGATACCCTTTTGCGGGGGATGCTCGTCTGGCGGCTTTGCAGAGGCGTGTCGCCGCCTCTTGGACGTACCCTACCTTGTCTACCCCCCGTGGCTGAGGCGGGATCGAGAGGAAAGCATTGCAGGCTGGTCTATGTCCGATGTCATCATTCCAGCCACGCACGCCAGCTGACATGAACAGATCTACCCCGCAGACCGACTCCAAAGTGCTCAGGTCAGGTAGGCCACAGGCATACATCATGGTGTGAAGCGTTGTAGGTACAGCGGCCTGAAACTCCAGGAAGTCATCATGTTCTCGAACCACTACGTACGTTAGTCGGGGCTGTAGCAAGTGATGCCACTAAACGAACAAAGCGAAGGGCAAGTCAACAATACGACTCTGCCATTGCTCCAAGAGAAAGTCCACAAACAGGCCCAGACGCTCGTCGAATCTACGTCCAACCAACCCAGCTGCGCGGCATCACGCGCCAGACCTTGACCTCGCCGCTGCGTAGGTCATCAAGCTTGAAGCTTTCCATCTTGACCTTCTTGTTCTCCCGCCCTTGCTCCCATGCGCGAACCTTCTTCTTCGTTCCGTCCCACTCGGCCACAACACCCACGTGGTCCGGCTTGCCGACCTCAGCTGTATACTTTGCGTGCATTGGGCCGTGCTTGCCCTGGAACTTGGCGTTGCGGATCGAGACGATATCACCGGCCCTGATTTCATCAAATTGCTGCGTGGACGCGTTGGCAAGGTTTGAGTATACTAGAGCACCGTATCCACGGGTGCCCACAGGTAACAACACGTCCTGGAATGGGCGAAGAAGCTCGTGAACTAAGGCCTGAGGGGTGCCATCGCCAATGACAGAGTCCTTCTTAGACGTGACGGCGTTGGCGATCACGCGGCCGTATCGCTCGTACGCCTGCTCGAGCTGGTCCTGGCGCAGCGCTCGCGGAGGAGGTTCATGACGCTGTTCTGCCTCGACATCCGACTGGTCGTTGGGGTCAAAGGCCACTGTGATGATTGTCTGTGAATAGTCCTGGAACAGAACGTAGATGGTACGAGTGACAATCGTTGCGCCTTGGTGGTCCGAAGTCGTCTCGTCCGACTCGTAGTACAAGTCGCGCCGGCCTTGAAGCACTGGCGGAACCTGCTTGGCCTGGCGCCACCATCCACTCTGTGTTGCGAGATCAATATCGTTAGCAATGAAACCAGATTCCATGGACGGGCGGTGTGCGTCTATGGACCTCCTGATGTTCACAGACGGCCTCGACACATCCAGAGATTGACGACCGGGAGCACGGTTGGCCGGCGGTGCTGGTGGTGGGGCCCTCGTCTGGGGGCCGGGCGAAGGCAGAGGAGGAGGGCTCTGGAAGTAAGCCTCCTCTTCGATTTTCGGGGTTCGCTGGCCATAGGTGCTAGTCCTTGGCGGCGCAGAGTAGTTGTAGGGGTCATATTCCTCATCGTGCGATGGTGTCGCTGCCTCCTTGCCAGGAGGCGGGGGTGGCGGAGCGGCGCGTGGGACATCCACGGAACGGCGCTTGTCTGCGGGAGGAGGTTGCGGCGCCTGGGATGGTACAGGCGGGGGCGCTTGAGGTGCTTGTGTTGGGACCGGGGGAGGAACCGCCCTGGGAGCAGTACCAGTCGGAATGGGTGGTGGAAATGAGGGCGGAGGCGCATCGGTCGCAGGTGACCTGACTGGGGTGACATCTTCAATGCTCGAGTCCTCGC